ACCCTTATGGCAGAAAGCAAAGAGGAACTAAAGAGCCTCTTGATGAAAATGAAATAGGAGAGTAGAAAGTGAAATAGGAGAGTAGGCTTAAAACTCAACATTCAAAAAACTAACATCATGGCATCCAGACCCATCACTTCATGGCATCCAGACCCATAACTTCATAGGAAATAGATGGAGAAAAAGGGAAACCGTGACAGACTTCATTTTCTTGGGCTCCAAAATCACTACAGATGGTGACTGCACTCATGAAATTAAAAGGCACTTGCTCCTTGGAAGAATAGCTATGACCAACCTAGACAGCATATTAAAAAGCAGAGGCATTGCTGACAAAGTTCTGTCTAGTCAAAGTTATGGTTTTTCTAGTAGTCATGTACAGATGTGAAAGGTGGACCATAAGGAAAGCTGAGCACCGAAGAATGAATGCTTTTGAACTGTGGTGTTGGAGAAGACTCTTGAGAGTCCCTTGGACTGCAAGGAGATCAAACCAGTCAATCCTAAAGGAAATCAGTCCTAAATATTCATTGGAAAGACTGATGCTGAAGTTGAAGCTCTAATACTTCAGCCACCTGATGCAAAGGACTGACTCACTGGAAAAGACCCTGATGCTGGGAAAGATTGAAGGCAGGAGAAGGGGACAACAGAGGATGAGATGGTTGGATGGCATCACTGACTTGAAGGACATGAGTTTGAGCAGCTCTGGGAGTTGGTGATGGACAGGGAAGCCTGGCGTGCTGCCATCCATGGGTTGCAAAGAGTTGGGTACGACTGAAGGACTGAACTGAACTAAAGCCTGTGGACCAGACTGCTTATAAGAGAGCAAATGACCCATTGATAGATAAAAAGCCAGAACCAGAGGGGAAAAAGTGGGTGCTTGGAAGAAGCCCTTCTAAAGGAGAAATGATTGCCCCAGGTCTTAAGATAGCACTGGCCAATGAGGCAGTAAGAGAAAAGGCATTATCCATAGCAGAGCGATTCAGAGCATGGCTTTGGAGTCAGCCATATTGGGTCCAATTCCAGGGTCTGTTGTTTATGATGGTAAAAGCTAGGAGATCACTTAACCTCTCAAGCCTCAGATTTCTTATCTGTAAAACAGGGATAATGCCAACGGTGGCAAAGACTAATTGGATATTCTCAAAGCCTTTTCCTCTTCTTGCTGAGCACACACCCAGATTATATTTCTTAGTTTTCTTCAGACAAAGATATGCCGGCCCAGGATTTCCCTGGTGGTCTAGTAGCTAGACTCCAAGTTCCCAATGTAGGGGCCCTGGGTACAATCCCTGGTCAGGGAACTAGATCCCAGATGCTGCAACTAAGAGTTCATACACCAGAACTAAAAGTTCCCATATGCTGCAACTAAGACTTAAGATCCCAAGTGCCACAACTAAGATCCAACACAGTCAAATAACTATATATTTTTTTAAATAGCCAGTCCTGAACCCTAAAAAAACTCTCATACTTTTATCCACACTCTCTTTCCTCAATTTCTGGCCAAATGTGGAAGAGCTAATGAAGGACTTTGAAGGTTTAGAGAACCATGGAACCACTAAATGACTTCATGGCCTCCTAATAAAACCATACTGGACAAAGCCACAAAGAGTAAGAAAAAGACTTTTTATAATATTTAAGCCACTGAAATTTTGTTTGTTATACCAATTGCAGTTTTGATCCCTAGGTTGGGAATATCCCCTGGAGAAGGAAATGGCAAACCATTCCAGTACTCTTGCCTGGGAAATCCCATGGATAGAGGAACTTGGTGGGCTACAGTCCATGGGGTCACAAAGAGTGGGACACAACTTAACCACTAATAGACAACAACAAATTATAGCAATTAGCCTATCCTGAATAAAATAGACATTGGTTCCTAAAAGTGAGGTAGTATTGTAGCAAGGGCTTCCCTGGTGGCTCAGAGGTTAAAGCGTCTGCCTGCAATGCAGGAGACCCGGGTTCAATCCCTGCGTCGGGAAGATCCCCTGGAGAAGGAAATGGCAACCCACTCCAGTATTCTTGCCTGGAGAACCCCATGGATGGTGGAGCCTGGTAGGCTACAGTCCACAGGGTCGCAAAGAGTCGGACATGACTGAGCGACTTCACTTTCACTTTCACTCACTGTAGCAAACAGCTAAAATAAAATCCATGGCATTGGCTTAGCAGCTGGACAGAGAAATGAAGAAGCTGATTTCAGGAGCTGGAATCATGGTGACCCACGCTTTGCTTTAATAAAATATTGGATGCACGTGCAATTAAAAAGCCTGATCAGTCTGCTGAAAATATAGAACTAAGTCAGTCTGGTAAGTTAACAGGATAAAAGGTGTGACAAACCCAAACAGCCTTAATTGGAGTCCAGGAAGGAGAGAAAAGAGTCAGGCAGGAGAAATATTTAGAGACAGAGGTAATGAATCTTCCAAAATTTATGAAAACCTCAACTTTTAGAATCAAGAATCGCGTGCAGGGCTTCCCTGGTAGCTCAGTAGTAGAGAACCTGCCTGCTAATGCAGGGGACATGGGCTTGATCCCTGGGAAGATCCCACATTTCAAGGAACAATAAGCCCATGTACCAACTAACAACTATTGAGCCTGTGCTCTAGAGCCTGGGAACCGCACCTGCTGAGCCCATGCACTGCAACTATTGAAGCTGAGCACCCTAGAGCCCATGTTCCACAACAAGAGAAGCCACCGCAATGAGAAGCCTAGGCACCACAGCTAGACAGTAGTCCGTGCTGCAACAAAAACCCAGCACAGCCAAAACTAAGTAAATAAATAATTTATTTTAAAAAAAGAATCTCATGCATACAACAAGCATATAGCTGAAAGATATTTCTCAGCCTCCCACAATCTTCCTGGTCAATCAACTGTGGATGGAACCTGTGCCACCTCCAGGCCCGTGTCTAGTCTAGGGTAAGATATGCTATGATCACAACAAACCCAAAATCTCAGAGGCTTTCTCACTTAGACAGTCTGCTGCAGATTCAGACACCCTCCAGGGAACCCATTCTCCACATACTGACTTAGCATTTCAGCATGCTTCAGTCTTAGGAAGCCTCCAAATAGAAAAATTATGACTGGCAGCGGAGGAGGGGGCAGTATAGAATATGGAGGGGTGTGCACTGGTTCTTAAATGTTTCCACCAGGAAATGACATGTCACCTTGCCATGGTTAAAGCTCTGGTGTCACCTGACACCCACCTTCAAACAGGCCCGGAAATAGTCCTTCTACATACCCAGAAGGAAAGGAAACGGAAAATTGGTACCTGGTAGCCTCATCTACCACATCCCCTAAAACACGTTCTGTTTGAGCCTCTATGTTCCAAGGCCCTGGATGCAGCAACGCTTTTCCATATGGTTGACCTGCAATAGTCTGCGGTGTGAGCCACAAAGGAATCTTTACTCGGGTAAGCCTCTGAAATGCAGGTATTACAGAAGCTAGCATATTCCAATCCCCTACTCAACTTACATCATAGTAAAAAAAGATAATAACTTTTCATTAAGCACTTACTATGTGTGTGAAGTGCCTCGCACAATGCCTGGCCTTATTATAAGCTCTTAATTAGCGTTCATTGTTATTATTCCAATTTTGTCTTAGATGTGTATCTCTTTGTTCATATGGATTCTGTGCTTTAAAAGATGCTAATCGACATTGCAAGGTGGTTGAGCATCTTATCTCTTTCTCTAAAACATCTGCAAGTTTTCATACTTTCTGTGGGCAGCTGGACTAGCAGTGCAGATTTCCGAGATCAGAGGTGGAATGGTATAGAGGGAAGGAGCATGTCAACTAGGAGTCAAGATCAGTTCAGCACACATTTATTGAGCTCCTTTAGTATGCACCAGGCTCTAGAGAAACAAAGGAGCATGAGAGTGAATCCCCACCCTCTAGGGGCTTACACTTCTGCGTCTATGGTGAACAAGTGAACAAATAAAGCATGATATGTGCAATAAGAGGAAGAGCAAGCAAGAGAGGAGCCACAAGACCTGAAGTCTAGCTCTGCCACTAGATGCGCGACCTTGGACATGTTATTTAACCCTCTCTGGGCCTCATGGATAGTGAGAATAGGGTCGATCATTTTTTATCCCTGAAATTCTAACATCTACAGTTCTCATAATCCTGTGAGGTAGGCCAGGCAGGCACAATTTCTACTTTATTAGAAGTAAAGCCTGAGGCCTGGGAGGTTGAGCACAGCAGTCTGAGCTGCACGTCTGCTCATCGGTAGAGATAGTCCCATACTAGACTCCAGCAGGTCTCCAGAGCCAAGAGGAAGCACGTCCCCTCCAGGCTGAGAGCGTATCTCTGATGGGTATGGCAGGAAGTTTGCCGGATGCCCCCCTGTGTGAACCTCCTACTTGCTCCCAGTTTGAAGTTCTTCACCCCCTCCTGGTGTAAGTACACAGCTGACAGTGGACATTTCTGAAAACCAAGTGGTCTTTCACACACAGAACAGAGCGACATTAGCATAATTATCCTGGAGATCACAGGAATCTTCGGCAGCCAACCCCAGTCACTGCTGGAAGCCCTCCCTGGGTCTGGTCTCTTGGTCCTCTGTGAATGATGCAAAGAACATCTTAGAAGTGGAGCGACTTCTCCCTCTCGCTCACGTGCTCCAGGCCACCCCCACTCAGGCCACCCAGTATGTACTTGCTTAGGGAATGTGAGTGAGCTCACTTAACTGAAGCAAAACAAATTAAAGATCTCATCTTGGCCGGATCTCTAAAATCATGCCACGCCCACCAAAGCCTAAAAGACAAGTCTCTGACAGACAGCCGGCCACTGCTGTCTGCCCCAATGGCAACGGGTGAAGAGATGACATTCGCCAGCAATCTTATTGTCACCACTAACAATTTTTTTGAGCATATGTTATGTGTGCTACAAAGAGCCAGCAGCACATAATCCCTGCTACTCAGAGGCTTATAATCAGACAAGAGCGGTCAGATGAGTGAAGAGATGCGTCACAGATGAGAAGTTCCACACTCTCGGCCATGTGAGAGGTTCAGTTTTTGGTGCCGCAGGTGTTGGGGGAGGGCGTGGTCACCGAGGGCGGCTGCCGACCCGGAAGCAGTCCCAGGGAGCGCGAGCTGGACCTTGAAGCGAGAGAAGGGCAGTAGTCAGTATTTGCGTCACTCACGCTCTATGGGAAATTCCGCCTGAAAACCATATGAAGGCGATAAAAGTGCGCAGGGGGAAAAAATCGCCGAGGGACACCCCACGTCCTCTCCCAAGGTGGCTCCTTTGGCTCCTTCTCTCCCCCACCCCCTAGGCTTGTGACGTAGGTACAGCAAGCCCCTTAACCTCCCTGAACCTGCTTCTTCATCTGTTAAGGCTGTGGGAGAATTTACTAAGCAATCACCAGTGAACCTGCCAACACAGCAACGAACCTTACCCCTCAGTGTGTCCTGCTAATAAAATCCCTCCTCGCGCCATCTTCACAGCCAACGTCTGAGGGCGGCCTGGCGGGCGAGCTCCAGCCTTCCCGCCCCCTCAGAGAACAGCGCTGCGGTGTGGCTTCAAATCCACCCAGGCTCCCAGCTAAGCACACTCTCAACTCCAGGCGAGTCGCCTCAGAAGGAAAAATCTTCCAAAGGGGTTGAGGAGTGGGGCTGGAGGGTGGTCCTTTGGGGCTGAAGGGTGCTCCTTTGGACCTTGCCCCCTACACTTCTCTCTAGCCTGAAGTGAAGTGAAGTGAAAGTCTCTCAGTCGTGTCCGACTCTTTGCGACCCCATGGACTACTATGCAGTCCATGGAATTCTCCAGGGCAGAATATTGGAATGGGCAGCCTTTCCCTTCTCCAGGGGGTTTTCCCAACCCAGGGATCGAACCCAGGCCTCCCGCATTGCAGGCGGATTCTTTACCAGCTGAGCCACAAGGGAAGCCCTAGCCTAGGCCTCTCCCTAACTGCCCCCACCCCACCCCCCGACCCTCGCCCAGGGAGACAGCTCTGAGCTCCAGGCTTAGAAACCCGCAGAGGGTCTGGACTCCATGCTGCCGCCTGTGGCCTCAGGAGGAACTGCACGCCCACCCAGCCTGGCTCTCTGCCCACGTGGGAGGCGTGGGTGCCTGGCTGGGTTTGTCGGTTTTTTTATTTGCTTTTGGCCTCGCAGGGCAGCGTGCAAGATCTTCCTCGACCTGGGATCGGATGGATCGCGCCCCCTACAGTAGAAGGCGGAATATTAACCGCTGAACCTCCAGGGAAGTCCCTGGCTGGTTTATAACCTTTGAAAGGATTTTCAACGTTTCTCAAGTTTGGCGTGCTGGTGTTTTGTTTTGGTGTTGTGTTTCCTTCCTGGGTAGGAAAAGATAAGAAAACTCTGAAAACATCCATGACCTTGGGTCAGAGTTCCTTTTGTTGTTATTCAGTCGTTCAGTCCTATTTGACTCTTTACGACCCCATGGATTGCAGCTCCTCCGGCTTCTGTGTCCACTATCTCCCTGAGTTTGCTGAAACTTATGTCCATTGAGTCAGTGATGCCATCAAACCATCTCATCTTCTGTTGCCCTCTTCTCCTCTTGTCCTCAATCTTTCCTGCAAGAGAGTCTTTCCCAGTGAATCAGCTCTTCAAATCAGGTGGCCAAGGTTTTGGAGCTTCAGCATCAGTCCTTCCAATGAAAATTCAGGGTTGATTTTCTTTAGGATTGACTGGTTTTGTTGATCTCTTTTAGCTTTAGAGTTCCTTTAGCTTTGCTGAACTGATTTAGAATTGTTGGGCCGCCCCAGGACAAACCCAAGGTTTGGAGAGCTCACCTGCCAGTGTGCCCTGAGGCAGCAGGCTGTGGAGCTGAATGAAAGATAAGATCCCGAGGGCCTGGGTTCCTATTCCTGCCCTCCCACAGTGCTTCCTCCGCGCCCCCTCATGGCTCCCTTCTTCCCACTTAAACCCACAGAACAGGATGAGGACACAGCCCTGCTCCTCATGCCTTGGGCCCTGCCCAAGTACAGTTGGGTCACCTGTGGCAGCATAACCCACCTCAGGTCCTTTTTAAGAGACTTAAATAAGGTAAGACTAGCATCACTGACTCAATGGACCTGAGTTTGAGCAAACTCTGGGAGATAGTGGAGGAAAGAGGAGCCTAGTATGCTGCAGTCTGTGGGGTCGCAGAGTCAGACACAACTTGGCGACTGAAGAGCAACAACAAAGGCTTTGATGGGAAGACCATCTTTGATGGGAAGATACTGGTGAGAACCCCAGGCCTGTGTATGACTGAGAACAGGTGTGAGTGTGAGACACCCCCCCCACTCACCCTTCAGCCCCCGCCCAACCCAAGCAGCAGCAGCAACAACTGACCACTTCCTCAGTCCTCAGCCCCTCAAAACACTTCCCCACAGGCGCTGGGAAGGCGGTGGGCTTCAGCCAACCCCCCACAGGCCACCGCCACCACACATCATTCCTTTAACCTCTTCATTGCACAGTCAGATTCCATACTGGCTTCCCCATGAAGATAAAATATGAAACCACAAAATACCCATATTTTACTAAATACCTGGAAAGCTTTCAGAAGAGTCCACAAAACCGAAGCTGACAGTTGTGTCTGAAAACTGACAGTAAAAGGAGTGACCGGAGTAGAGCAGGATGTGTTTCCCTCTGAGCTGTTTTCTCAGAAAATGGGGCAGGGCCCAGATTCACAGACGCACCTCTTAGGCAGCTCCCACATGTATCTCACCCGGCCATGGGCTGGGGAGGCCCAGGCCCCCCCACCGCTTGCTCTGGGCTCCAGGTGCATGGCTGGAGAAGGTGGCACTTGCAGCCGCTGCAGGCCCAGGGGAACCACCAGCCTCTGGCCCATCCCCCCTTCCTTCCCTGCAGACCAAGGAGGGACAGGAAGGGGCCCTCGGACCTGCACAAACTCTTAACCAACCCAACATGCACATCATCTCCTCTCATCCTCCCACCTCCTTCACTCTGTCCTCTCCTAAGGCAGAATAAGCATCCCTTGGCCATGTTCCAGAATGTTCTGGTGCTCCCCAAGCTGGTCCCTCTGCTCCCTGTGTGCTCACTTGGGGGATAAAGCTGTTGATCCCCCTGCCTGGTATGGTGTCTGGCAAATGATAGGTGTGAATAAATGTTTGTCATGTTGAATCGAATGGTAATGATGACACCAGATGGAGCACACCCCTCAGACATCTAAGAATAACGCAGTGGCCTGGCAACATTAAACAGTGCCCTGAGGCCACAGAGCGTGTTTTTGGTCTTGGTTCCTTCACGTGTTGCCTGCCACACCGGTGCCTCTTGGTGGTCCCTCCCTAGACAGGCAACCTGAGCCATGCCCCCCTCCCTCAAGCCACGATCATGGAACAAACGGCAGCCGACTTCTCTGGACGCCAGTCATCTCTTTATTCCACCGGTGACCAACAGAGCAGCACCACGGACCCAGCAGGGGCCTGCCTGAGACCCTGGGCAAGGCCAGAGGGGTGGATGCAGGGGCCAGGTGAGGGGCTGCCCTTCCTGCCTCCCCAAGAGCCAGGAGAGAGATGCCTGGGGAGGGGTTCTGTGTGTGCAGACAGTACGGCAGTCTGTCAGCCCCCAGCCTTCCTCAGAGCACCAGGGCCTCCAGAGGAAGGAATGCTCCAGGGTGGGGCCAGGGAGAGACCTGCTGGGCTGACGAAGGGTAGACTGTGAACTTGAGCGGGCGCTGTGTGCACGCATGTGCATGAGCAAGTGCGTCGGTGTGCGTGTGTGTCTAGGGACACGTGCCTACGTACTACTGAGCTTGTGGGAGTTGATTGCTGAGCCAGGGCCTGCCTGGGGCCAAGGAGACCAGGGACCAGGATTCGGGGGCTGGAGGAGAGCACCCAGGGGCAGAGAGCATCCTCCTCGCTGCTTCGCCTTGGAGCGGAGCCCCGGGCCAGCAGGTCTCAGAGCCTGGTTGCAGGGTGGCCTCTGGCATGACCCACCTCATGTGTAGGCCATCTTGCTGCACACCCAGGGCCGGGTCATCAGGCAGTCTGTCGACACCAGCCTGGTGGGCTCCACGAAGACGCACTCCCCAGGGCCCGCGATAGGGAACCTGTGGCCAGGAGAGAGGAGACCAGGCACTCACCGCTGGCAGATGCCACCCGTTGCTGGGCAGCCCCAGAGGTCCTGTGACTCATCCTTCCCTCTGGAGCTGCCCTGCTCTGGGACAGTCCACCCCACAGAACTTGCTAGTCTACATACACCCACAGATGTATCCTGGATGCACCCTACACTCCCCATCCGGCTTCCCCATCCTGCCGGGCTCGGCTCACTCGTCCCAAGAGACTGGGGCCCTGTCTAGGACAAGCCTCCCCTGACCCCACCTGCCCACGGTGCCCTGCCTGCACCTCTTACAGCTATTAATAGCACAGGGGGTTCTCCCTGCCTAAAATCATCCCTTTTGAAGCTCAACATTTCTTCTTAAACTCATTTGGTCACCCTGACCTGAGCCCCCCACCACCAAGGCCAGGACGAGGTTCTCAGAGGGCATCAGAAGGACCCCAAGAGGGAGTGGGGAGGCCAGAACCACCTCAGAGTGGTCAGAGAAGCGTGGCCCCAAGGCCCGCTGGTTGCTGGGTGGTCAACATCCTGGGGTCTCCAGCCTCCAGGGCTTCCAGGGTTCTAGGAGCAAGAAGCTTTGAGAAGGGGAGAGGCGGGGGGCGGCAACAAGGCAAGACTTTCTCAGCTGCTTTGAGAACAGATTGGAGGATTAGGTCAGGACAAGGAAAGAGGAGAAAAAAGGAAGGGGCAGTGAGGACAAAGAGAGGCACTGAATGAAGAGCTCAGGAGACAGGGAGATGTGGGAATAGGGAAGTCTTCATGGCCCGAGGGTCATATCAGGTCAGCAGCTGTGCCCCCACCCAACTCCTCGGGCCTAGTCCTCCAGCCTTAGGGTCTAGATCAGAGGCTGAGGTTCTTACGCCTCGTGTGCACTGACCTGTGTCTCCCTAAGCCTAAAGTGCCCCCCTTCTCTGCTGCCACCATCACCCCACACACCCACCACACAGATCACACGCTCATTGCCACACCACATGGGCCACACAAATAATACCACCCTGGCACATGCCACCAAACCCTCAAGGTGTTTTCTCTAAGAGGACCCTCCTGGGACCTGTAGTTCAGACCCCCTTTCTCCGTAGTAAAACTGTCCAGGCGGC